ACTTAGTATGTCACCAGGAGACTGACACACTATTTTGCTTTATCTTGGTAATTATTGCAGCCAGTGGAGCTTGTCTGGAAGGCTTCATCAAGGGAGTAAATGTGGAGACAAATGCAGTTTAGAAACAAACACAATCTTTCTACGTGCAATAGTAGAAGGGAACAGTAATCAGTTACTTTCTGCACCTCTGAACAACCAGATGCATTTATTTGACAATAATTCATTTCAAACTTCTCAAACTATTTTTTCATAGTTTATATATGAACCAACTAGTAAAAATAGTTACAATTATTCAAGCCTGGTAAAAGAAAATTATTGTAGGGTAAAAGAGAAACAATAGTGACAGCCAACATTGATTGGGAGCCTCTTAAGAGCTTAAAACTTACTGCAGTACTTACTTAGCACTCACAAGGCTCCTCTGAGGAGATGGAACATAGTTTCATGTATTACAGACAAGAACATGGATGTTTCAGAAAGGTAAAATCTTGCAGTGATCAAATACTTCATATTTAATTACCTGTCCCAGTTCCAGATATTCACTTGTCCCCTTCTACAAAGTTGTGGCTTCATTTAGAACAGATGAAACAAAATGACAAGTAATCTTGAACTGGTACTCAAAGTCCTAGGCTTCAGTTTAGAATCATGAAGTCTTCAGAGAGAAAGTGTTTGGAAATGATGGAATTCTCTTAGTCATAGAGTGCATTCAATAATAACTGAGTGTCCCTGCTAGCACTGGCTTCCACTGCTGTTGCCACATCCCAATAATATCTCCAGAGATTTTTTTTCAGTGACAGTCTATGGAAAAGTAGTTGGTATTCTTCTTGCTGTTTCGAACTAAATTGTTTTCACAACTCTGAATTGCAGCCATTCCCCAAATGGCTACCAATGCCTTGACAAGTCTAAAGGGAACCGAAAACATCTGTGGCTGTGTAGATAGTATCATGTAGTATATCCTGTCATTGCTAAATGAATGTTTCTCCCAAAATCCTGTTTTTCCTTGAACATTGCTAACAGATTTACCAATGCTTGTCTGTCACTACTCAAATTCCTTTCCTCAAGCAAAACTGCCTATTCTCCAAATCTTTCAAGAAAAAGAAAGTCATAGTGAAATTTCTTAACTCACAAGGACACTTTTATATGTTATCCAACATCCCCTTTAATAGTGCTATGAGGACTGTGATTTCAGAGACTAGGAAACTGAGGTGTAAAACTCAAGAGACTTTCTAAGGCTTGAGAATTTTGCATATATGGAGGCCAGAATCCATGGGGCTTTCTATTTAAAGAAAAAGAAGAGAGGGGATATCACTGGCTAATAATTTTTATAAGCTATAAAACTTTAACTTTTCTTGAAGCTATGAGAAAGGACTTATGCACATTGTAAGGCTTTATATGCATTCTATTAACCATTTTATCTTTATAAAATTGAATTCTTTAGGCCCCAAGTAAATTGGCTACCGGTGTCCCTAGCCTTAATAACTGGCACCCATTCATTGAAAGGAAAAATTCTAATCTCCTCATGATGAACCTGTCAAAGGAAACTCCTTCAGTAAGTACTTAAACCCCTTAACTTGGCTCAAAGAACTCCACGAACCAGCATCATCTGAGCAATGTCTTTAGATTCACTTTCAATCCTGTCACAACAGGTCACTTACAAATCCCAGTACGTCTGAAGTTCCTACCTTCATACCTCTCCACATTCCAGGAAGTTCTTATAGGGAACCCTTACTGCCTGTCTTCATCTGGCAAATTCCTACATCCTACAAAGTTCAGTGGAAGTGATTCAGGGAAGCTTCTGTCGCATCCTACAGTCTCAAATAAATCTAGTGCTTTAGACTTCTACTCACACTACACACACTCCTTCAGCACAATGCACAAACTGTTAGCTTCATCTCTCCCAGAGATTAGATCAACTTTGCCCAAGAGGATCTTCTGCAATGCTGGAAATGATCTACGTCTGTGCTTATATGGCAGTTACTAACTATAGCTACTGAAATATAGTTCAGGGATGGAGATATGGCTCAGGGCAAAACATCTGTAGAGCATATATGAAGCCATTGGTTTGATCACTGGCACTACAAAAAATAAAACAGCTATGCAATGTGGCTAGTTCAGCCAAAGAGCTAAAACTTCAATTTTCTTTAATATTATTTTTTGTTTAAATTTAAATAGGCACCTGCTGCTGGTTGGTATGGTATTAGACAACATAACTCTAGGGAGACTGTCAACTCCTGTCAAGACTATGCTTGTGTCTGTATTCCTAGCATTCACCACAGGAACTGGCAAGGAGCAGGATTCAGTGCTTGTTGAAAGAATAAACAAATGTATAAATATCTATAAACATTTCTTACATATTGTTGGGAAGTGAATCCACTCCATATTTCAAGCATTCCAGATCCCTATATGAAATTTGGCCAATCTCAGTCATATGTTGTAAGGAACACCTCATTAACTAATGTGGAAAAAACCCTGGGCAAGTCACTCATTTCTACTTAGGGCACTCAGCTTCACAATCACTCTTAAATCACTTCCAGATGACTTCTGAACAAATGGTCATGCTGTTGTTTATGAAATATTACAACAGTCAAGATCAGATCATTTCAGAATGTCAAAGTCAACTGCATTATTTCATAAAGCAAAAATTAGGCTATTTACCATGCTTATAATAATATGGAAAATAAACTCTTTTGAATGCTTAAAGTATTGCCAGAGTATTAAAGACTACTTTGAAATATTCTTTGTAAATAACTTTCAACTCTAGAGTTTATTTTTGAAATCCCATAAAGTTTTTGGAGTGGGTGTATCACCTTGATTTGATGGACTTCACTAGTGTGACAGCAGAATATAGAGAGAACATGACCTAACTACAAAGAACTAGCAATCAAACAGTTTGGTTCCAGTTAAAAGTCTCAGTCACATGAGGTTCACATACACTTGGTCATTTGAGATTTTAAGAAATCCAACATGTGAAATTTCACAAAGTAGATTAGTCAGGTCCCCACTGCAAAATCCTTTAAAGCGTAACTGGCAACCACGGGCATCAACAAAGATGGTCACTCCCCAAGAGGAAAAAAGGAAAGAAAACTTCTCCATTTCCTATCTGATACATCTCATAGTGATGACACACTGACTGAACAATCACTTGTTAATATCCTTTCATTACATAATTACTTCTGTAAAGAGCTACTAATCCTAAAGTCTAAAACTACATATGACCAAAAAAAAAAAAAAAAAAAAAAAACCTGAAAGCAGAAAAGTGCCTTGAAGCTGGATTACAGGGATAAAGATAGAGACTTCAAATGCAATAATTCCTTTTAAACGCAATTTAAATTTTTGACTACAAATAGCATTATTCTTTAAAAAATTAGTATTCATTATATGAAGAGGCAGAAAACATAAATACATCATCCTTTAATCCTTTTACCCAAAGTCAACATTTTTGTCCTTATACACTTTTAAAATAGTAAAATACGAGTTAGCATTTATAGAACACTGTATCATGTACCATCCTAAACATTTAACATTTTCATTCTGTATTCACCAGAATACTACAAATGAGGAATTATTATTATTCACATTATAGAGAGAGGTTGAGTAATCTGACCCAGTTCAAAAACTTGTGACCAATAATCTCTGTTTAGTTTCTGCTGTGGGAGCCTTAGATTCAACTAAGTAGTGTGGGAAGAAAAATTTTCCCTTAATTTCATTAAATCCTTAACTGCTATTTCAATAAGCTAAGAACACAATCGTTGTGCCTTATTTGATTCCTACTTTGCTTTGTGAGGGAGGGGCTGAGCTTGGAGGAGGCTCACTGACTTGTCTATAATTCACAATAGCTGGAGTGCAGGACATAGTCCATAATGTAAAATTAGATTCCTTCAGGGCTGTATCTCTGATGCTCTTAGTATCAAACTGTCCCCTTACCATCACATACCACATAATCTACTAGCTTGGGCTTATATTAACTTGACTCAAATCTGATTTTACTTGCCACCAAGATTCCAAAAGTATAATGTATAGTTTCCAATTCTTTGGAAAACAAAAGGTGCACATTTTCATTATGGACTTTAAAAGCATGTGGAAAACACAACTAAAGGAGATGTTAAAATGTATAAAAAATTGTCCACAATGCAATTGACAAGAACAGAAATAGTCTTTCTAAAAATATATGTTTTTTTTTTAAATTTTATGTGTATGAGTGTTTTGCCTGCATGTATATAAGTGCACCACATGCGTGCCTTGGTCATAGACCAGAAGAGGGTGTCAGATCCCCTGGAACTGGAGTTTCAGATGATTGTCAGCCACCGAGTGGGTGCTGGGAACCAAACCTAGGTCCTCTCCAAGAGCAGTCAGTGCTCTTAACTGAGACATCTCTCCAGCCCCAAAGAACAGAAACATTTTTAAAGGTGTGCTAGGAGACTTAGTGGGTGGGTATCCTGTGTTTTACTCCTCAAAGGTCATCTGTAAGGATGGCCAAGGAGATCTATTATCAGTTTCCTGCTTGCTGCTTGCTTACTGTCAAAGGCATCTGTTAGATCATGACCTTGGAACACCTTGTGCTATTTCTCCTGGTTTGTAACTGTTACCCATACAGCAACTTCTTTGGCAACAATGGTAATTATGCAGGAGCCATGTTATCTCAGGATCACATTGTAATTAACTGTGTCACTGCAACATTCATGGTTATAATAATTGCAGCCAAAAAGAAAGAAAGAAAGAAAGAAAGAAAGAAAGAAAGAAAGAAAGAAAGAAAGAAAGAAAGAAAGAAAGTTCCTATGGAAGTAGCAGTTTTTAGTTCTGGCTTCCAAAAATAACTTCAGTAATTATACTGTTTAAAAGGCAAGTTTGTTCCTCCCAGCCCCCAAAACATGACTTCCTCTGCACAAAGCTCACTGAATCTAAGCTATCAGAATTTCTCAAACAGAAAATATTAAGCTATCTCCACTGGAGAAGCTTCCAAAGAACACAAAAAACACATCAGTATTGTTCAGAGTAATACTTACAGCTCCTCCAGAAAGGGAAAGTTCTTAAATGCATCTTCTGGTAACTGAGTAATATTGTTCATACTGATATCCCTGAAAAACATAAAGTTAGGAATATTATTAGCTCAGTAACAACATTCATAAACTATTGAAGCCATCAGAAAACAAATTACATGCTGATATTTTATAAAGTAGCTAGAGAAATGAGCATAAAGATAGAAAGGAATAGTTGTAATTATTTTAGAATGCAATGCTCAGAAGACAGAAAAGTTAAATCTTTCACTATGAATTATGTTACATAATTTATTTTTTAATATTTTATTTATTATTTATATTTTATGTGTATGAGTGTTTTGCCTGCATAAATGTAAGTGCACCCAGGTCGTGCAATGCCCACAGAGGTCAGAAGAGGGTATTGGATCCCCCGGAACTGCAGTTAAGGATGGTTGTTAGCTGCTATGTGGATGCTTGGAACCCACCCCAGGTTCTCTGCAAGAACAGCCAGTGCTCTTAGGCATTCAGCCATCTCTCTAGCCTATGTTCCATAATTTAGAAACATGCTCCAATCCTGGAATTTCCCCCTTTAAGTATCACGGGGGGGGGGAGGGGTAATGCCTCAATCTATCTACAATGAGTGCCAGTATAGCTCCCTAATATCCTATAATGCCAGGGGTATTTGATCAGGATATATACCTGATCAAAATAAGCAAGCACACACCCCAGGACTTGAGCAAGTATATGTGCAGGTGAAGATGGCTTCTGGATTACAATTGAAGCCAATAAAAGCAAGTCCTAGCTCTCTTCCACTCGTATTTTCTTTAAAACCTATAAAAGTCCTCCAGGTAAGAGTCGTAAGCGGATTTCATTTTTAGCCTATGAACACATGCAGGCTAGAGGCAAGTGCATACATGACAGGTATGTAGTCAGTTTCAAGATTTCCCTTAGAGCAGTGGCAGAAAGGAGGGAATTCACTCAACACTGTAACTCAACAATTAACTAGGTTCAAACAGTTAAAACATACTTTATTAATCATTCCCCTCTTCCCTGGCAGCTGCCCTTTGAATTGACTTTCCCTTCCATACTCCACTTGGTATCAACACTGTGAAAGAGAGATTAACAGCCTGCTAAAGGGAAGTCCCAGCATGCACTGGGTCAATGAGCAACTCCCTCAGCTTCCTCTGCTTCTTATCTGGAGGTAAATTCTGTGGTTGAGTCCTTGGGTCCCTCTCCTACAGAAATCACATTGAAAGCTGAGTGTGCACCAGTCCCATTATGAGATGATAAGGCTTGTATGAAGAGGCAGAAGAGGTCAGGCCCAACAGCTAACAGCAGTAAGACTCAAATTGCCATCAATTCACTCAGATAGAATCTTTTCAAAGATAAGACACCTTCAGTTCCCCAGTAAGGGAGTCCCTCTTTCCAACCTTTCCTCTTGCTATAATTTATAAACAGAATTCATATTTCCTTCTTCTCTCCCAAGGTAGGTCTGGAAAACTTGGATTGGGAATCACAGGAACAACAGCAGGACCCAAACCAGCAGAAACAGAGCTGCTAAAATGGAACAAATGCTCTCAATGCAAAACCACATGTTCAATCTCCCTTTCCTAGCAGGGAAACTGAGACTTACTGTGGTAAAATAACCATCCCAAGGCCATTCAATAACAAGAAATGTGAACTCCAGAGCCCATGATCTTAACCATCAACTCTGAGCCTTCCTTAGTAGTATTTAAATCCCATTATTCTCTCCCCTGCTAATCAATATAGAAAGTAAACCCTGAATTCTACCAGGCTTAAAAACTAGGAAAGAAGAGGCTGGTGATGAAGCTCAGGACAGAGTATACTGAGCATTTGTGAGGTTCTGGGATCACTCATTAGCACCAAAATTAAAAAAAAAAAAAAAAAAAAAAAAAAAAAAGGCAGGGGCTGGAGAGATGGCTTAGTGGTTAAGAGCACTGTTGCTTTTGCAGAAGACCCGAATTCGAGTCCTATCACCTACGTAATGGTTAACAACTGTCCTAACTCCAGTTCCAGCTGATCGGATGCCCTGTTCTGACCTCTGCAGGCATTGCACAATGTGGGTGTACTTACATACATATAGGCAATAGTCATACACATAAAATAAAAAAAATATATATATATTTTTAAAAAAGTCAGGAGGGATAAATGCTCTCAAGACCCCGGCATAATCATCAAGGAATCTTAGTATAATTTTGCTTGACAAACTGAAAAGAAAAAGAATTATAACTAGCTTACAAACTGAGGAACCAATGCTCACACAAATTTCTCATAACAAGAAACTTCCCTTTAAGTGACTCTTATGACCACACACACTCAGAAGCATCCCCAAATTTTCTATCACTGAAAACAACTTAAACCCACTAAAGATAACAGAAGAAATAAATCCCCTTCTCCAGGAAGTATTATTTTTAAACCTAGGCCCCAGGGGCTGGAGAGATGGCTCAGTGGTTAAGAACACTGGTTGTTCTTGCAGAAGTCCTGAGCTTGAACCCCAGCACCCACATGACAGCTAACAACTGTCCGTTAACTCCAGTTCCAGGGGATCTGATGCCCTCTTCTGTCCTCCGCGGGCATTGCAGGACACGGATGCACTTACCTACATGTAGGCAATACACTCATATGCATAAAATAAAAATTAATAAAATATTTTAAACCCCAGCCCCAATACTACTCAAGGTAGCAAGTATCTGTTAGGAAAGGGAGAAGAACCCCTTTCTTTCTCATAAACACTTGGGCAAAATACTGGAGAAATAGTATCAAAATAGGGGTCAGAAAAAGCCAGCTTAACTCCAACCACTGACACCAGCCACAGTTTGACCCTAGGCCTCCTGTTCATCAGTAAAATGATGCAATTGAACTAATGGGCTGGGCTGGGTGGCTTCCTGGACTGACATTGCATTATTTTATGAATCACTATTTTTGCAGTTGGTTTTGTTGTGTTTTGTTGTTGTTGTTGTTGTTGTTGTTATAGAGGGGCATGTCTTCCCTGATGAAAATATAAGGTTTGTTGTTATGGACTGTTTCTGAACAATTTACCATAAAGCAAAATGGAAAGACTATTACTTTTCCTTTAGAAAACCATTCACTGACTTCTGCTAGAAACACATTGGCCTTAACTAATAAAACCATTCTTAACAATACACAAGGGGCTCAGTGGTTATGAGAACTTATTGCTCTTCCAGGTTCAGTTTCCAGGACCCATATGGCTAACTGTCCCTAACTCCATTTCCAGGGAATCTCACTCTTTCTTCTGAGTGCTGCAGGCACCAGGCATGCTTATGGTACACTTACATACATGGAGGCAAAACACTCATACACATAAAATTAAAATACAAATAAATAAAACTTTTAAGAAAAAGAATATAACAAAATTTTCATTTGAAAGGCAAAGCAGAAATCTTATGATTAGAGAGTGATTCTGTATAATCAAACATTTTTGGTGCCTTTTCTCCATTCAAATAAGAAGAGAAAAAAGGGACAGTAAATTATTTATTGCTTTACACAAGGAGACATTCCAGACTGTTTCCTTTAAGGTTGGCGTACCCAACTTCAGGAGAGTACCACAGTAAAAGAAAGAGTGATCATTTGCTTCCATCAGAAAAGGTTTGGAGAGCACTAATTAATCAACACAAAGTCACATAATTAGAAACAATTTACACTATGTACCACACTCTTCTCTGCATTCAGCTTTTTAACACACACACCACACACACACACACCACACACACACACACATACACACAGACACACACACACAAACACACACACAATTATCTCATTTTTTCCTCCCTCAAAGTAACAAGACATAACAGATAGTTTTGCTATGAGCCATAAATGCAATTAGTGAAACTCTGTATTTACAAACTAATGTATGTTAAACACACGGTGAGGTTTCATTTCAAAGCTTTGGGTCAGGAACAATACTTCCAAGTTTTAAGAGATTTTTTTTTACAGACTCGCCCCACCAAGAGGTTCTTTTTTAATAGATATTTTCTCTCATACTGTCTGAGCTACAGTTAGAAAACATTTATGAATGAAATAAAAAAGAGGTGTAGGGGTAGACTACCAGATATTATCTCCAGAGCAGCCTTAGCAACATGTGGTTACAGAGTATAAGGTGGGTGGGTACCATTTAAAATAATGAGAGCTAATGGTGATAAACAATCTACAGACGGTGCTAAGAGTCGATTCCAGACCTGACATCACCCAAACCCACAGGAGAATCCAAGGTGTACAGACTTCATAAATAAGAGGTTGAAAGCCATGCTGGGGTGATGGGTTAAAACTGTAGCAATTCACAAAGGGAATCCTTAGCCAGTAATTACAAATACATGAAACTCATACAAAATATGTAAGTAAAAGAAAGCCAAGTAGAAAATCTTCAGCTAGAAGACATATTCACAAATCAGTATCTTCATATTCACATGAGCCTACAATCTACCAGCCACATCAGTTACTGAACCTAGTGATTCACCATTCTGGGTTCCTACCAAGAAATAAATGCAACATAGAAAGGAAAACAAAACAAAAAAAAGTCATACAAGGTCAGAGCTAGTCACAAGCATCACTGAAGGGCAATTTTCAAGAGAATCGAAGGCCTTGCTCAGAGCTGAGCTGGCTGACACACCCACTTTCAAGGCAAAAAGACTAAGATTCACCAGTACCTGACTATGTGAGCTCTCCTGGGTTGTTCATTCTTTGACTTCTGGTTACTTCATTTGTAAAATGCAGGCACTATTAACTAAACCTTTTAACCTTCTATGAAAATCAGAAAACATCAGTCACATGTAATAATCTCACCAAGTGACAACTATTATCATCAATCATCTGTTTTGACTTCTTTGACTTTGGCTACTTTTGTAAAATGCAGGCAATAATAACTAAACCTTTTAAACTTCTATGAAAATCAGAAAACGCCAGTCACATGTAATAATCTCACTAAGTGACAGCTATTGGCAGTCATGCCTCCTTAATTTCTTAAGAAATTTTATTTTTAAGGGAATTTTTAAAAAGTAGGAAAAGGAAAGACAAGAGCCACTCTCAAAAAGATTAGGATGCCTGGTGATGTATGTCTT